TAGAGACCTCTTTGTATCATATTAATACACAATTCTATAATATATTAGAATACCCTTTTTCAAGTCTTTTGCTAATTGACAGAAGGCAATTTGGAGGATAAGGCAATTTTTCTTTTTACTAGCAATTTCTTTCTTTTTTTGATACAAATGGAATTTGAGCATACAACCTACCCGTGCCCATTTACTAGCAATTGTACATACACGCTACTATGTGTATTACAGCAATTGGTTATATTTAATAAACTTTTCATATATATTAAAGTTTGTTTGAAATTATAATTTAAATATAAAATGGAGATTTTTTGTTTCTACCAACAACAAAAAACAAAGGAGATTTTGTGAAAATTTAACAATACTCAATTCACCGCCTCAAATATGGAAACCATATTCCGAAATAATCCCAGTATTCAGATGAATAGTTTGAAGTTTTAACGTAGGGCTTGTAAGTTTGCTAAAATTGAAAACATGTAACATATTCCCTTTGTTTGCCATTGAATTTGCATGTTTTGGACATAGTTTATTTCCTTATTTATTTTAGACGACCCTTATCTTAAGTCTAGTGGATTGAAAAAATAGATTCATTTCAATTTAAAATATTAGTCGTTTGAGAATTTTATGAAAAATTTAAAACATATTATTTATTATTAATTTTTAAAAGATTGTCATAGTTAACAAAATCATTTTCTTGCTTTATTAAGAGTTTCTCTTATTTGAATTATATACATAGGATAATACTTAGCTCACAGTACCAAAACGTACCTAAAGCTTAATCTTGTACCTTTCCTGAACAGAATTGTCTATTGTGAAAGATACCTGTATGAATTTATCCAAAAATAAAACAGTACCAAAACTTATATCACCTTACCCTAAAGTCATAAGTTTTGGTAGGGGTGTTAAAAAGTTTAAATGTAACCAAATGAAATAAAAATAAAAATTTATACAATTATAAAATAAAATAATAGAGAAAAGTGTTTGTCCTTTTAAATAATATAGTTTGTGTCATTTCACTCTCATAAAGAGGTGAGACCCACACCTCTATTTTTTTATTCACTCTCTCTCCTCCATGATTTATCTCATTCTCTCACTTAAAATGACACAACTTTACATCCTTCAAAATAATACACACTTCTTCCAAAATAATATGCATATAAACAGTGTTTAAAAACCCGGTCCGACCATCGACCCGGTCGAGGTCAAGAGTCCCGGGGTCACGGATTCAACCGGAGGGTCACGGGATCACTACGTTGACCCGGTTTTATACACTACAACAGATTCGGGAACTAAGGGCGGTTTTAATTTGGTTTAACTGCGGTTTAAACCGCCCCGAAAAATTTCAATGGCCTTTTCAAAACCGACAGTGAAAATGGTGTCGTTAAATCATATTACAAGATTTGACGTCGATTTTATACAACCGATGGTAGAACCGACTCTAGATCTGATCAATTTTTTTTTAAATAACACGTCGGTGTAAAACCGCCTCGGTTCTTCTTAAAAAATTAAAAAAAAATCATTTAAAATTTTGCATCCTTTTAAACAACGTAGATTCAAAATGAAAAAATAATATTATATACCACAAATTTTCAGCTCAAATTGGAATACATATCAATAATTTGAAAACCATCATGCCATCATTACATAACTAAATGGAAATTGATAACTAAAAGAAAATACATTCCAGCAGAGGAAACCTTCCCTGTTTTAGCACTGTCTTCCTACAATAATAATTAAAAAAGTATAATTATTATGGATTCGCTTTTTCTGCAGTTACTGCAGATAAGTTATTTGCAGTAAGTCAATACGACGTCGTTTTGGAACGCAAATCATGGTGTTTTTGTAATTTTAATTTATTTTAGGAGTATAATAGTCTTTATATTTATAATTTTTTAAGATTTCAATACCAAAACGACGTCGTTTTGGAAATAAATTGCATTAACTGCGGAAACATTTTTCCCAATTATTATTGTATAAAAGGGAAAAAAAGAAGAAGAGAAAACATTCATTATTTTCAGACACACACACGAGAAAATGTATAAAACCTGGAAACATAATTAACCAACATTTTAAAAATATAATAACTGGAAACATAATTAACCAACATCTTAAAAAAAGATCATTTACAAACATAATGACCCTCACATCATTGAAAGAAAATTTGAGGAAAGCTCAAGCCTTTATCAAAAGAAAAGCAGGTTTACAGAGGAAAGCCTTTATCAAAACCCACAACGTCATACAAATTATATATATATATATATATATATATATATATATATATATATATATATAAAATATAATTTTAAAAATTAAATTTAAAGTCCAAATTAACAGGAAAGAACCAAAATTGCACTGACGGATGAACAAAACCATAAAATAGATAGAAGGATAGAAATAAATAAGGCACCACAACATGGATAAAGAGATCGAAATAAACAAGACCTGGTCATAAAGCAATCTATTCATTTCTTTCTGTTTTCCTCTTTTCCATACTATATTATAAACACAGAGAAAATGGTTACAAGCTTTATTAATAATGAAGTTGGTAGCCAATGAAAATACTTATTCAACAAACTCAGATAAGTACAGGTGGTAAAAAAGAAGAAAAAAAATAACTATTATTGTTTATCGTCAATATACAATAATAAATAATTCATATTAATTTTCATATGCGGGTAGATAAATCATGATACAGCCAAATAATTGGGAGGAAAAGTAGATAACAAGGGGAAAGAAGTAATGACAGAAACTACCTTTTGCCTAAGGCCAAAAAAGCAGGATGTATGGTTGCGAAATTTGATCCAATGAGAAATTGATTGCAATATATAACATACAAAAATATATATAAATTCTCTGGTACTCACCTCCCAATATGAGTCAAATGGCTAATATCGAACATGATTACATGAAGAGCTACAAGAAAGAAAAAACAATTAATACATGTTTTAATGTTGAGATAATCTATTCCAAAATCCACCCACCCAACAAGAAACAAAAAAGAAAATAACATTCACCTGGTAGGTAAAAAAATAAACATAGGGGGAAAGAACAACAAGCATCAAGGGAAGGTACAAGACCTTCAATGCAATTGATAAAAGGTACTGTGGTAGGAACACAGTAACTGCTAACCAGTTCAAATGATTTAAATATCTTGCTTTTAAAATTGTTTTGGAAAATTAAGCTTCTAGCCTTCTACGGCTTAAATTACTACAAACTATCATTTTCAGTATTTATTTCTCTTGGCAGATACCACTTTCACTCTTTAATTTTGGTAAATTTCAATCCACTCTTTGAATTACCACAACTTCATTTTTTAATAACATTCTATTGAATTAAAAGGGTTGGAAATCAGAACATTAGTTTTATAAAGAAATAACATAGAAAAAGAAGTCCCTACATTTTATGAACTTGTGGAAATGCATATGCAAATTCTGCAAGAAATAACAAATGAACCAGAGAAAGAGCATTACCATATAGTAAGATTCAAGGATCTCAACCATTCTTCAGTTGCTATATATATGAGGAATAACCATGTCAAGGTCGCCTCTACACAACAGAAAACCTTGGTGATGTCAAAATCACTTATGCTGAAACTAAAATTTAAACCCATTATTTATCTTAAACATAATGGCTAAACAAAAGTTAGCAGGTAGAAAAAGACAATTGGGTTACGTACGTGTAAAGTAATATTTGTAAACCTGTCTCGGTAAGAATCTTCTGGTAGGAATTACATTTTGGATGTCATCAAGGTATATGTCAACGAGGTTAGATTACATCTATACCATCGTTGAACCGTTCCCTGGTTTTCATGAGGGGGGAAAAGTAGTCGGAATATAAGAGAAAACATATGTAGCATTAATTGTGGACTATTAATGCGCATATACCTCACGAACATAGAGCCCCTCCTGAACGGTCTTCTTGTTTGCCCATATATCAGAAAGTATATATATGAATTTATTGTTTGCCCATTAATCGTGGACTTTTTTTTTTTTTTTTTGCTTGTAATAGGAAACTAAATCACTTAAATTGCCACTTACAGTTTAGTCCATGAATTATAGTGATAACACCTGCAATAAATGTTATACAATCATTAGCATTTAATATTCTGAAAGAAGTGAAAGAAAGAGCCTCGAGGAACTTTCTGCATTGACCAAATATAGTTATTTATTCTTTCTCAATTATTGAATAAGAGATTTTTTAAATGGTGCCATTAGGGAGCAGATAGATTGTGCTCATAATTAGTCTCAGAAAACTTAGCTGGACTATTGACTTTTATGCAGGAAATATATTGGACTGCTGATTGAAATTATCAAGATTAGTGTTATGGATATGAATACCATATCCTAACTACCTACCCATGAATCCACCAAGAGATAAGGTCATAAGCATCTCAACAACTCCAAACAGCCAAAAGACATAAGATGAGGATCACATCCCAACAGAAAGGGAGTTGAATTCTACTGCAATTGGGGGAGCTCAAAGGGCCCAAGCCCAGTTAGGTAATCCTATAAATAAGAGCCTAAAAACCCCAGGTAAACACTTTTGACCTATTTACTAATACTGCCCACACTTGCACACACCCACTCATTGGCTATAAGCATATTGCTTGTGCGCAGTGATCGAGACCTCGGCTATAAGGCTAGTATACAATTGATATACACTATCTCTGAGCGCATACCCTACGGTATAAGCAATACGGTCTATCCTGGACCTAACATTGGCGCCGTCTGTGGGAAACGATAAATTTCGACTCCCATTCCACGATGACGAACACCCGTTCGACGCCTAGCACTTCCCAAATGCCGCCGCGTCAATCTCAGCCTCAGCCTTATGGCATGCCTCAACACCAATCTGCATCAGAACAGCTCCAATCGGAAGCAAACCCGGTGCTGGTAGAGGTACAGGTCAGCTAGGACGGCACACAAGGATCGACTCCCAGACCCCAGCCGAATGCAGCAGTGGCTGCAGTTCGTCCACCTCCACACAATGAGCCACCAAACGTGACAAACATGGCCATGGGCGCAATCCTTCAAAGGTTGCAAGAGATGGAAAACAGATTCCTGACTCAGCAGCGTATGGATGCCCAAAGGATGGCGACATTGGAGGCCGAGCTGAGGACCTTGAACGCGGAAGGCCGGACTAGGGGAGCCGGGCATGTCGTAAACGGCCAACCTCAGCAGCAACATGCCGAAGGCGTACAACATCAGAACGCCGAAGGCGTCCAACATCAGAATGCTGAAGACCTCCAGCATCAAAACGTTGAAGATCGACCTGGAAGGCACGACCATGCTGGTGATGGAGGACCGCTGCAGCAGAACGCGACTACAGTCGAAGGAAACGCGCAGAATGTGCAGAACCATAACCTCGGCAACAACCAGAATGGTGGAGGTCCGAACGACAACCAGGACGAAAATTATCTGGAGGATGAAGAGGCTAATGATAGCCCATTCACTGGGAGGCTCATGAACTTGGCCATACCGCCGAGATTCAAGAGCACCAGGATACCTCCATACGACGGAAGTCAGGACCCAGAAGCCCATTTAGAGGCTTTCAAAACCGAGATGCTGTTCAACGGGATCACTGGACCTATTAAGGCCAGGATCTTCGCGACGACATTGATTGGTCAAGCGATGACCTGGATAACCAGGCTACCTAGGAACTCAATCGACTCGTTTGTGGACCTAGCTTGGACTTTCCGACTTAACTTTGCAACAAGCAAGGTGCATCCGATGCCAGCCTATGCTTTGGGAAGAATCCGGCAGAAGGAGAACGAATCGCTAAGGAAGTACCTCGATCGATTCAAGGATGCCGCCCTCAAGGTGCGAGGTTTAACTGAAGCAGTGCACCTCTACTTAATCATTTCGAGATTAGATGGCGACTCCCCATTGGCGAGGTCTATCTATAAGAACCCGGTGAACGATCTGGAGGAGTTCAGACAAAGGTCGGACAAATACATTGACGTGGAAGACATGCGAAAGGTCTACGTCGAATCATGAGGACGAAGCCCGACACGTCGGAGCCCGAGTAAGAAAAACAACAAAGACCGGGACCAGAAGGGATCCAAAAAAGCAAAGGACACTCGTGATAAGAGGTTGGAAGACCGATCACCAAGGAGGAAGTTTGACGATTATACACCTTTGAAAGTGTCCAGATCCAGGATATGGAGAGAGGTAGCTCAGACCGAGATGCGCAATGTCGAGAGACCTCGACCCCTAAAAGCCAAGTTCGGTTTAGATAGAAACAAATATTGCGCCTTCCACGATCAAAACGGTGACTTTACGGATGATTGCTGGGACCTCTGAGATGCAATTGAAAAGCACGTCAGAGAGGGAAAATTGAAGCAATATATCATCCGAACATAGGGCAAGAAAAATAATAAGCGAAAGCAAAGAAGCCGAAGCCAAAGTCGAAGCCCAAAGAGAGAGGATAGAAAGGATCAGAGACAAGACCGACCCGCCAAAGGCAAAGAGGTCGATGACAATGATGAGGCTTTTCCCGAAGTCGAATTCGAATGCAACGTGATAAGTGGAGCTCTAGGTGGGAGAGGCCGTGTCTGTAAGAGACAGGCCGACCTTCAAAGGGAAAGACAGCAAACCTGCACCCCCTAAACTATTTTTCACTCAAGAGGAACTAGCAATGGTCGTACCCGGACGCACTGACGGATTGGTGATCACTGGAGTGATAGTCAATTGCCGAGTAAAGAGAATCTTTATTGACCACGGAAGCTCAGCTGACATAATTCTCTGGGATACTTTCCAGAGGATGAACCTGGATGAGAAGGACTTGAAACCATGTGTCACCGAGCTGGTCGGGTTCAACGGAGCGGTGTCCCCTCCAAAAGGCTACATTGACCTAAAGTTGACCTTGGGCACGAAGGACTCGTTCCGAGCTGGAAGGGTTCGTTTCGTCGTAGTGGACACCTCGTCTTCCTACAATGTGATCATTGGCCGGCCTACAATCCATGAATGGGATATGCTGATCTCCACTAAGCATCAAGCACTGAAAATGCCTGGGATGAACAACGAGATCGTCACCATAAGAGGTGATCAAGAAGAATCAATAAAGTGTTACTATTAGACTCTATGAGTCCATCATGGAGGTCCATCATCTCCACCTCGGCTTAAAGAGGGAGGAGCTAAGGACCAATCACTGAAGGCATGTGGAAGCGAGGTCAACTTGGTTGAACTCGACGTGAGAGAGGAGCTCCTAGAACCTCGTCCAGAACCCCAAGGAGAGCTGGAGGATGTTGATATTGCAAAGAACGACAAAGGGCACACCAAGGTGGGAAAAGACCTTGATACCGACTTCAAAGAGGAACTGGTTTCCTTCTTAAAGGAAAACTGCGACGTATTTGCGTGGAAAGCCTCAGAGATCCCTGGAATAGACCCAACTTTCTGCTGCCACAAGCTCTCCATGTACCCCGGATCACAGCCAGTGTCCCAAAAGAAGAGGAAGATAGGATCCGACCGACGTCAAGCCTTGAATGAGCACGTCGACGAGCTGCTAGAAGCCGGATTCATCAGGGAAATACAGTATACCACTTGGCTGTCTAACGTGGTGATGGTAAAGAAACCAAGTGGGAAATGGAAGATATGCGCGGACTACACCGACCTCAATAAGGTCTTCCCAAAGGACTCATACCCCATGCCGAGCATCGACCAGCTAGTTGACAATTCGTCAGGATTTCAGCTACTGTCATTTATGGATGCGTACTCTGGGTACAACCAAATCCCACTACACCCTGCCGACCACGAAAAAACTGCCTTCATCTCTGAGAAGGGAATTTTCTGCTACAACGTCATGCCTTTCGGCCTCAAAAATGCAGGGGCGACATATCAGCGGATGATGAACTGCGTTTTTCAAGGGCAAATCGGAAGAAACCTAGAGGTATACATCGACGACATGATTGTCAAGTCGTTGCACATATCGGCACACATAACCGACCTCAGGGAAACTTTTGAGAAACTGAGAGCTCACAGGATCAGGCTGAACCCGGCGAAATGCGCTTTCGGGGTACCAGCTGGAAAATTCCTGGGCTTCATGCTTACCAACCGAGGAATAGAAGTGAACCCCGACAAATGCAGGGCCGTCCTTGAAATGAAGCAGCCCGAAAGAAAGAAAGAAATCCAACAGCTCACAGGACGTCTTGCGGCCCTGACCAGATTTTTGCCTAAATTGGCAGAGAAGGCTTTGCCTTTCTTCAAGCTCCTCAAAAAGGAAGCCGAGTTTGGATGGGGGGAAGAATGCAAAAACGCATTCAAAAATATTAAAAGTTTCTTGGCCACCCCTCCTGTACTGTCAAAACCAGAGCCCGGAGAAACGCTGATCTTGTACTTATCAGTGGGGGAAGAGGCCATCAGTGCCTCCTTGGTACGGGAGACAGACAAATCACAACAACCGATATACTTTGTAGGTCGAACCTTGCAAGGACCTGAGCTCCGTTATCAGAAGCTCGAAAAAGTCGCATTCGCCCTGCTTACCACAGCAAGGAGGCTCCGACCTTACTTCCAGAGTCACCGAGTCATTGTGCAAACAAATCAGCCCATCAGGCAAGTACTTCACAAGCCGGACCTAGCTATAAGAATGATCAACTGGGCTGTCGAGCTCTCTGAGTTCGACATATCATATGAGCCTCGACAGGCGATTAAGTCTCAAGCACTAGCCGACTTCATCTTGGAGCTAACCCCATCCAATGAAAAGGGAAAAGGGAATGAAGATCTCTGGACAATACATGTCGATGGATCCTCGAACTCTAAGGGGAGTGGAGCTGGGGTGATCGTTGAGACCCCAGAAGGACTGAACATTGAGCATTCACTTCACCTGGCATTTCCGACCTCCAACAACCAAGCTGAGTACGAGGCGTTCATTGCCGGGATCGTACAAGCGAAAGAACACGGGGCTAGAAAGATAAAAATCATGAGTGACTCGCAGCTGGTTACCTCACAAGTTGAGGGAAAATATCAAGCCAAGGGTCCCCTCGTGATGAAGTACCTCCACAAAGTTAAGGAGCTGCTAGCCGAGTTTGACGAGGTAGTAATCCAATATATACATCAGAATGAAAATAATAGGGCCGACATCCTATCCAAACTCGCCAGCTCAAAGGGCTCAGGAAATCATCGCACTGTGGTACAACAAAGCATCCTGGAGCCGACGTGTGTCATGGTGATAACCGAGACTGAGGATTGGAGAAGGCCAATAGTGGCCTACCTAGAGAAAAGGATCCTGCCACGAAACACAAGAGGCCAGAAAACTCGTGAGGAACTCGGTCTGTTTCACCATAGTGGAGGGACAACTCTACAAGAAGGGTTTCTACACACCCATGCTGAAGTGTCTATGCAAGAACGAGGTCGAGTACGTGTTGGCCGAGATTCATGAGGGCGTAAATGGGCATCACATGGGAGGAAAAGCCTTGGCCAGAAAGGCACTAAGGGCAGGATACTACTGGCCAACTATGGAGGCGGATGCGAAGGAGCATGTCAAAAGATGCGAACAATGTCAGAAGCATGCGCTGATCCTTCGCGCACCCCCAGAAGAGCTGCAAACTATCACGGCACCATGGCCGTTCTTCAAATGGGGAATGGACCTACTAGGACCTTTTACTGCAGCTGAAGGACAACTCAAGTGGTTGATAGTGGCTATCGACTACTTCACCAAGTGGATCGAGGCTGAACCCCTCACCACCATTACCTCGGCAAGGATACGGAGATTCTTTGAAAGAAACCTCATCAGCTGATTTGGGCTTCCTGCTGTGATCACCACAGATAACGGAACACAGTTCGCTGACAAAAAGTTCCAAGAGTTAATGACCGACCTCAAAATCACGCATCGGTTTGCATCAGTTGAGCACCCTTAGACTAACGGACAAGCCGAGTCTGCCAACAAGGTGATCATCATCGGGCTAAAGAAAAGGCTCTTTGAAGCCAAAGGCAATTGGGTCCAGCAACTACACCTCGTCCTATGGGGTTATAGGACTAGTGCCCAATCTGCCACGGAAGAAACCCCCTTCAAGCTGACACATGGGTGCGAGGCCATGATCCCGGTTGAGATCGGTGAGCCGTCCTGGAGGAGGGTGCAGAGGTTACAAGGAACCGAAGACCAAAACATGGAAGCACTCCTAGTAGAACTCGACCTACTTGATGAATGCAGGGAAAATGCCAGATACAAGAATATGATGGCAAAGCGGCTAGTAACTGCTAGATTCAATAAGAAGGTCAGACCTCGGTCATTCCAGGCCGGTGATTTAGTCTTAAGGAGAGCAGACATCGGCAACAAAAACGCCAGAGATGGAAAGCTCGTTGCAAACTGGGAAGGCCCCTATAAGATCAAGGATAATCTGGGAAGAGGAGCCTACACCTTGGAAACTATCTCCAAGAAACCAGTAAAAAGGACTTGGAACGCGGACAAACTGAAGGCCTGCTATAGTTAGGTTACAGGTTCGACGTTCGAAATAAGGAGTCGAGCTCTTAAGCTCGGTCAATAGTTAGAATTATTTCTACGTAAATAAGACAAGCTATTAAGCTCAGTCAGTAGGAAGATTTATTTCGAAGAAAATAAAACGAGCTTTTAAGCTCAGCTCTTGTAAAAAGATTTCGTTGGAAATGCAAATAAAATGAGCAGTTATTTAATTCCTGTCGTTTATGCATATTAATTTCCACACAAGTAATTGAAGCCTCAGGAGCTTCGTGACCGAAAAGGAATAAAAATTTTGTTGACGAACGAAAAGTAATCCTAGATCGGCTAAAAAAAAAACCTCGGCGATTCATAAGTCGAATATGACGAGATCGTAATGGGGCAAAAGAAAATTAAAACATAAGTTGTAAAGCCAACCCAAAGCGGCAATTATGTTCAGGCAAGAAAATAAAGGGGCTCAAGGGCCCCATAACAAGGTTACAAAATGAAAGTCGGCATTCCGACCCCTTCATCAACTCATGTGAGGAGAAACGGCTTCATTAACCTCGGCTTCGGTCTCTTCATCATCAGAATCTGAACCCGGAGTCCCAGGAATGATAGCGCCGTCCTTCATACCATAAGAAACGTCCATTCCGTCAATAATAAGGCCAGGGTTCAGAACCTGGGCTTGAGCAATGGCATTGGCAAAGGCCCCAGTAGCTGCGTTCACGATTATGACCTAGCCCGGACTTTCCGACTGAACTTTGCAACAAGCAAGATGCATCCAATGCCGGCCTACGCTCTGGGAAAAATTCGGCAGAAAGAGAATGAATCGCTGAGGAAGTACCTCGACCGGTTCAAGGATGCCGCCCTCAAGGTCCGAGGTTTAACTGAAGCGGTGCACCTTCACTTAATCATCTCGGGATTAGATGGTAACTCTCCACTTGCGAGATCAGTCTATAAGAACCTGGTGAATGATCTGGAGGAGTTCCGACGAAGGTCGGATAAATACATTGATGTGGAAGATATGCAAAAGGTCTACGTCGAGTCTAGAGGGCGAAGTCCGACACGTCGGAGCCCGAGTAAGAAAAATATCAAAGAACGGGGACCAGAAAGGATCCAAAAAAGGGAAGGATTCTCACGATAAGAGGTCGGACGATCGATCTCCAAGAAGGAAGTATGACGACTACACACCCCTGAACATGTCCAGATCCAGGATATGGAAAGACTGAGATGCGCAACGTCGAGAGACCTTGACCACTCAAAGCCAAGAGCGGGCTGGACAGAAACAAATACTGCACTTTCCATGATCAAAACGGTCACATCACGGATGACTGCTGGGACCTTCGAGATGCTATTGAAAAGCACATCAGAGAGGGGAAGTTGAAGCAATATATCATCCGAACACAGGGAAAGAAAAATAATAAGCGAAGGCTAAGAAGCCGAAGCAGAAGTCGAAGCCCGAAGAGAGAAGACAGAAAGGATCAAAGACAAGGCCGACCTGTCAAAGGCAAAGAGGTCGATGATAAGGACGAGGCCTTTCCTGAAGCCGAATTCGAATGCAACGTGATAAGTGGAGCTCTAGGCGGGGGAGGAGACTCGGCCAACGCCAGAAAAAAGTACCTAAAAGAGGTCATGTCCGTAAGAGACAGGCCGACCTTTAAAGGGAAAGCCAGCGATCCTGCCCCCCCCCCCCAAGACTGTTCTTCACTCAAGAGGAACTAACGATGGTCGTACCTGGACACACTGACGGATTGGTGATCACTGGAGTGCTAGTCAACTGCCGGGTTAAGAGAATCTTCATTGACCACGGAAGCTCGGCAGACATAATTCCTTGGGATGCTTTCCAGAGGATGAACCTGGATGAGAAGGACTTAAAACCATGTGTCACCGAGCTGGTCGGGTTCAACGGAGCGGCGTCCCCTCCAAAAGGCTACATCAACCTAAAGTTGACCTTGGGCACGAAGGACTCGTTCCGAGCTGGAAGGGTTCGTTTCGTCGTGGTGGACACCTCGTCTTCATATAACGTGATCATTGGTCGGCCTACAATCCATGAATGGGATATGCTGATCTCCACTAAACATCAAGCATTGAAAATGCCTGGGATGAACAACGAGATCGTCACCATAAGAGGTGATCAAGAAGAATCAAGAAAGTGCTACTATGAGACTCTACGAGTCCATCATGGAGTCCATCATCTCCACCTCGGCTTAAAGAGGGAGGAGTTAAGGACCAATCACTGAAGGCATGTGGAAGCGAGGTCAACTTGGTGGAACTCGACGTGAGAGAGGAGCTCCTAGCACCTCGTCCGAACCCCAAGGAGAACTGGAGGATGTCGATATTGCGGAGAACGGTAAAGGCCATACCAAGCTGGGAAAAGGCCTAGATGCTGACTTCAAAGAGGAACTGGTTTCCTTCTTAAAGGAAAACTGCGACGTATTTGCGTGGAAAGCCTCGGAGATCCCAGGAATAGACCCAACTTTCTGCTGCACAAGCTCTCCATGTACCCCGGATCACAGCCAGTGTCTCAAAAGAAGAGGAAGATAGGATCCGACAGACGTCAAGCGTTGAATGAGCACGTCGACGAGCTGCTAGAAGCCGGATTCATCAGGGAAATACAGTATACCACTTGGTTGTCTAACGTGGTGATGGTAAAGAAACCAAGTGGGAAATGGAGGATATGCGTGGACTACACCGACCTCAATAAGGTCTGCCCAAAGGACTCATACTCCATGCCGAGCATCGACCAGCTAGTTGACAATTCGTCAGGATTTCAGCTACTGTCATTTATGGATGCGTACTCTGGGTACAACCAAATCCCACTACACCCTGACGACCACGAAAAAACTGTCTTCATCTCTGAGAAGGGAAATTTCTGCTACAACGTCATGTCTTTCGGTCTCAAAAATGCAGGAGCGACATATCAGCGGATGATGAACCGCGTTTTCCAAGGGCAAATTGGGAGAAACCTAGAGGTATACATCGACGACATGATTGTCAAGTCGTTGCACATATCGACACACATAGCGACCTCAGGAAAACTTTTGAGCAACTGAGAGCTCGCAGGATAAGGCTGAACCCGACAAAATGTGCTTTTGGGGTACCAGCTGGAAAATTTCTGGGCTTCATGCTTACTAACCGAGGAATAGAAGTGAACCCCGACAAATGCAGGGCCGTCCTTGAAATGAAGCAGCCCGAAAGCAAGAGAAAAATCCAACAGCTCACAGGACGTCTAGCGGCCCTGACCAGATTTTTGCCTAAATCGGCAGAGAAGGCTTTGCCTTTCTTCAAGCTCCTCAAAAAGGAAGCTGAGTTCGGATAGGGAGAAGAATGCAAAAAGGCATTCGAAAATATTAAGAGTGGCCTTGCCACCCCTCCTGTACTGTCGAAACCAGAGCTCGGAGAAACGTTGATTTTGTACTTATCAGTGGGGGAAGAGGCCATCAGTGCCGCCTTGGGACGGGAGACAGACAAAGCACAACAGCCGATCTACTTTGTAAGGCGAACCTTGCAAGGATCTGAGCTTCGTTATCAGAAGCTCGAAAAAGTCGCATTTGCCCTGCTTACCACAACAAGGAGGCTCCGACCTTACTTCCAGAGTCACCGAGTCATTGTGCGAACAAATCAGCCCATCAGGCAAGTACTTCACAAGCCGGACCTAGCTGGAAGAATGATCAACTGGACTGTTGAGCTCTCTGAGTTCGACATATCATATAAGCCTCGGCAGGCGATTAAGTCTCAAGCACTGGCCGACTTCATCTTGGAGCTAACCCCATCCAATGAAAAGGGAAAAGGGAATGAAGATCTCTGGACAATACATGTCGATGGATCCTCGAACTCTAATGGGAGTGGAGCTGGGGTGATCGTTGAGACCCCGAAAGGAGTGTCCATTGAGCATTCACTTCACCTGGCATTTCCGACCTCCAACAACCAAGCTGAGTACGAGGCGTTCATTGCCGGGATCGTACAAGCGAAAGAACACGGGGCTAGAAAGATAAAAATCATGAGTGACTCGCAGCTGGTTACCTCACAAGTTGAGGGAAAATATCAAGCCAAGGGTCCCCTCATGATGAAGTACCTCCACAAAGTTAAGGAGCTGCTAGCCGAGTTTGACGAGGTAGTAATCCAATATATACCGCGGAACGAAAATAATAGGGCCGACATCCTATCCAAACTCGCCAGCTCAAAGGGCTCAGGAAATCATCGCACTGTGGTACAACAAAGCATCCTGGAGCCGACGTGCATCATGGTGATAACCGAGACTGAGGATTGGAGAAGGCCAATAGTGGCCTACCTAGAAAAAGGGATCCTGCCAGACGAAACACAAGAGGCCAGAAAACTCGTGAGGAACTCGGCCTGTTTCACCATAGTGGAGGGACAACTATACAAGAAGGGTTTCTACACACCCATGCTGAAGTGTCTATGCAGGAACGAGGTCGAGTACGTGTTGGCCGAGATTCATGAGGGCGTAAATGGGCATCACATGGGAGGAAAAGCCTTGGCCAGAAAGGCACTAAGGGCAGGATACTACTGGCCAACTATGGAGGCGGATGCGAAGGAGCATGTCAAAAGATGCGCACAATGTCAGAAGCATGCGCTGATCCTTCGCGCACCCCCAGAAGAGCTGCAAACTATCACGGCACCATGGCCGTTCTTCAAACGGGGAATGGACCTACTAGGACCTTTTACTGCAGCTGAAGGACAACTCAAGTGGTTGATAGTGGCTGTCGACTACTTCACCAAGTGGATCGAGGCTGAACCCCTCACCACCATTACCTCGGCAAGGATACGAAGATTCTTTGAAAGAAACCTCATCAGCTGATTTGGGCTTCCTGCTGTGATCATCACAGATAACGGAACACAGTTCGCTGACAAAAAGTTCCAAGAGTTAATGACCGACCTCAAAATCACGCATCGGTTTGCATCAGTTGAGCACCCTCAGACTAACGGACAAGCCGAGTCTGCCAACAAGGTGATCATCAACGGGCTAAAGAAAAGGCTCTTTGAAGCCAAAGGCAATTGGGTCCAGCAACTACACCTCGTCCTATGGGGTTATAGGACTAGTGCCCAATCTGCCACGGAAGAAACCCCCTTCAAGCTGACATATGGGTGCGAGGCCAGGATCCCGGTTGAGATCGGTGAGCCGTCCTGGAGGAGGGTGCAGAGGTTACAAGGAACCGAAGACCAAAACATGGAAGCACTCCTAGTAGAACTCGACCTACTTAATGAATGCAGGGAAAATGCCAGATACAAGAATATGATGGCAAAGCGGCTAGTAACTGCTAGATTCAATAAGAAGGTCAGACCTCGGTCATTCCAGGCCGGTGATTTAGTCTTAAGGAGAGCAGACATCGGCAACAAAAACGCCAGAGATGGAAAGCTCGCCGCAAACTGGGAAGGCCCCTATAAGATCAAGGATAATATGGGAAGAGGAGCCTACACCTTGGAAACTATCTCCAAGAAACCAGTAAAAAGGACTTGGAACGCGGACAAACTGAAGGCCTGCTATAGTTTGGTTACAGGTTCGACGTTCGAAATAAGGAGTCGAGCTCTTAAGCTCGGTCAATAGTTAGAATTATTTCTACGTAAATAAGACAAGCTATTAAGCTCAGTCAGTAGGAAGATTTATTTCGAAGAAAATAAAACGAGCTTTTAAGCTCAGCTCTTGTAAAAAGATTTCGTTGGAAATGCAAATAAAATGAGCAGTTATTTAATTCCTATCGTTTATGCATATTAATTTCCACGCAAGTAATTGAAGCCTCAGAAGCTTCGCGACCGAAAAGGAATAAAAATTTTGTTGACGAACGAAAAGTAATCCTAGATCGGCATTCCGACCCCTTCATCAACTCATGTGAGGAGAAACGGCTTCATTAACCTCGGCTTCGGTCTCTTCATCATCAGAATCTGAACCCGGAGTCCCAGGAATGATAGCGCTGTCCTTCACAACGTAAGAAACGTCCATTCCGTCAATAATAAGGCCAGGGTTCAGAGCCTGGGCTTGAGCAATGGCATTGGCAAAGGCCCCAGTAGCTGCGTTCACGATTATGGCCTTAGTCTCGTCAAAGTCAGTCTGCAGCTTGCGGATCTGGGCATCCTTGTCATTCACAGACTTGGAAAGAGCATCTTTATCTACCTTCAGCTCTTCCGCCTTAGCATTGGCCGACTCTACAGTTTTCTTTGCCGCCTCCAGCTGCAAATTCAATTCATGAACCCTCTTCTCCAACTCGGATTTCTCGCCCAACAGCCCCTCCACCCTAAGAGCAAGGGACGAGTTGGAAGCTGAGGACAAATCGAGTCTTTGATGAAGGTCTTGGAACGACTGGAGCAAGGAAGACGCCTTCAGAGAATCCTCTTCCAGACGGATTAACGTGCTCCTCATCTCGGAAGTCAAGGACGAAGAGCCCATAAATTGTTGAGGAGGCTTCAGCACAGCACTAAGTCGGTCCGAGATTCCAACCTTCCACAACTCTCCAGGTTCCAAGACAATCAGGTCTCCCTGAGGAACGGAAGGAGGTGGAGGAAGTGAAGATGGCGAAGATGTAAAGAGGGAAGCCGAAACATCGGTTAAAATAACCTCGTCAGTGGCCGAACTATCGCCCTGTCCGACATCAACCCGTCGTCTCTTGATAGACTCGACCTCGGAGGAAAGATCTACTTTAGCTTTCCCTTTGGAAGTCTTCTTTGGCTTGGGCAAAAATTTCCTGTATTCCTCGCTCATCATGCTAACTGCAAAGGATATTTCAAAGGTTAGAACTCAAATCACAACACATGTCGGACAAAAGCCGTAAAAGAAAGCGACATACCAAATTCACAAAGGAGGTCCTCTCCAAATTTATCGACAATCCGACTCAGATCGATAATGCCGAATTTCCTGGCATAACTAACCAGGACAGACGCCGCCAGTCTCTCCGAGTCGGAAAGGGCCACTCCAGGAGTAGCGTAGTCCCTAGGACGCCGTTGATAGTGACTCCGCGTCCAGTAAAGCTCGAACCGACTCTCCAGGTCCCCATCGTCTCCCCAAGACGAGGCAAACCACGGTAAGCAGTCCGAACGAGCTACTACCCTGAAGTAGGCGTCCTTAAAACCTTTAAAAGATTGGGAGTAGGGGATAAAAATACCCCGATTTGGAGCGCCTCGGAAAGTCACCCAACCCTTTCTCTCCTTAGCCTCGGCCCCAGTCCAGGCTGTATACACATCAAAAAAGTGTATAAAGAGGCAAACTGTACAAGGAAGACAGAGGTAGGCGCAAACTTGTTCAAAACCCCGGATGAAGGCCCAGGAGTTGGGAAGGCGCAACCCGAAGTCTACGAATTACAGCCACCTGGAACTCAGTGAAAGGAAACCGAATCCCTAACCTAGTGATCATATCTCTATAAAGAAAAAAGAAGTGGGGTTCGTCTAAAATAGGCCCCGCGCACACCGGATAATCACCCGCTGGGAGCATATCCACCACATTAGGGTCTCCAACCGGAAACTGGGCCACGTCAGCAGGAGACATCGTGGACCGCAGGCTTAGTACCTCGTGAGTGACCCAATTCTGGACGTCGGACTGCTCCATTGCTGTGGTCCTGGAACACGAAGGGTGAGGATCAGTACAAAAATCATCCCAATCCGATCTAGGACTTTCGAGATCAGACGGCAATGAGCATGGACTCCACGAAAATGGGATGGAGCTTTCAGAACTGCTGACGAGGTCAACAAATGGTATCCGACTTGCAGCAGAGTCATCGAAGCAAGAAGGGATGACTGATTCAGGAAAACCTAGCTCGGTCGAAGAAAGACTGGAGGAGCTATCGCTCAAACCAAGGGGAGGAATCCGATCTAGAATGGATCTCGAACCCGGAGCTACTTGGGAGGACGGCAATATGTATGACAAAGGGATGGGCTCGGGTGAGGAACTCATCCTAGGCAGTGAAGGATCCGCTAAAGGAGGCTGGTTGGTGGAAAAACTAAGTTGGCTTTGACGACCTCCTCCTATCTGACCTCTCCCTCTCCTACCAAGACCACCTCGGGATCTCCGACGACCTCCCCTATGACCACGGAGAAGCTGTTGAAGCTTCTCCTCCTCAGTATACTCTTTACCAAAAAGCCAATACTGGACCGACCTAGGCAATCGCCTCACTACCTCCCCTCTCACTTCATCACCTCGGCCAAAAGCCTGGCCAGTAGAGGAGTCAGGGGCACTCATCACGAACCCCAAACAACACTCCGAAGAGGGAAACAGGAAACTGGGGATTCGAAAGGACGGAACGTAAACACCACCCTCGCTTCCAATGAGGACAGCTATCAAATTCAACTTAAACCAAGCGAAAAACAAACTTATAAAAGTGAAGAAACGTGAGGGTACCTGAATATGGAAGTGAATATGATGAGGACTAAACTCAAACACGCGAAAACCTTCACTGAAATTGACAAGAGCTCCAAGAAAGTTTCGAAGGCACAGAACCGGAAATGGAAGAGAGCCCAGGAGAAACGAAAACCGTATACCAGTTGAAAAGCTGGTATTTAAAGAAGAAGTAAAGTCATAGGCGCGAAGAGGGAAAGGCTGAAAACCGTTCGAGTAGCCAGGGGCAAAATAGCGAAATCACTTCTGCACGCATTCAATGTGCTCAATCATGACCTACACAAGGCTCAGCATAGCACACTCTGCACGATGCACGAACCACCAACGAGCGTAAAACGCGTGGACTGTCGTAACCGTCACAGCAGGCGTGACACGAAAGGTCAGGCAGATGTGATGAGGCCAAGCCCCGACTTCCGAGCTACAGTGGCGCCATGAAGTCTCAAATCAAATAAAAGGTCAACCAAAAGATCATAGCCAAAGGTCGCAACATGACCGAGAATGTCAGCTCGGTCCAGCACAATGAAATTAAAACTCGGAACAACGATATCCAAAATCTCAAAATGAGCTCAAGTCGCATCCGACATGCCCCCACTCGACTATACATACAAACATCAAGGAAGATCAAGGGGCATAACGCGTACGATCTTGACGAAAGCAACTTCGAGTTAGAGCGCAGACTTCAAAAACTCGAAGTTCCAAACCCGAGATCAATGAACTCGGACAAACTGAATCCGAGGTAACACAACAGCACCTCGACATCCCGAACCTCGGAATACCGAGCTGGGGGCAACTGTTATGGATATGAATATCATATCCCAACTACCTATCAGAATATCTAGTGAGATACAGAGTCATCAACATCTCAACAACTCCAAACAGCCAAAGAGCACAATATAAGGATCACATCCCAACAGAAGGGGAGTTGAATCCTACTACAATTGGGGAATCTCAAAAGGCCCAAGCCTAGGAAGGTAATCCTATAAATAAGAGCCTAAGGACCCCAGGTAAACACTCAGAACTCATTTACTACTTCTGCCCACGCTGTGCACACACCCACCTCTTGGCTATAAGCCTATTGCTTGTGCGCAGTGATTGGGACCTCGGCTATAAGCCTAGTATACAGTTGATATACACTATCTCTGAGCGCATACCCTACGGTATAGCAATACGGTCTATCCAGGACCTAACAGTCACGATTGGGGTATTTTTAGTCTTGAAGATCGAACTGTCAAGCTCTTCACTCCATGTGTAGATAGGATTAGTCCACCTCCTATTTGGGTTGTTCCAACATGAGAGGTGGTTCCAGCTATGTAATAGTTTTAGGCTAATTCAAACGACATATAATTTCTATTTTCTTCCTAGTTCCTTACCTTGTAGTGTCAATTCTTTCTTTTTTCTGTGTCAAATGCTATTTCTAGTTTCTAATGAATACAAATTAGTTTCCAATCGATTTTAATTTTATGGTCATAATTATAATAAAATACTGACTTGACCGTTTGGAATTTGGCTAACGCATCGTTGTGCAATGTAACGCCTGGCAACTTGCAAGGATTAACGACTGTCCCCACACACTAACACGAGACTTTTCAGCGTGCTTTGTCCTCACTCGCACACTTCCTGGGAAAACTTCCCAGGAGGTCACCCATCCCAAAATTGCCCCAAGTCAAGCACGCTTAACTATGGAGTTCTTCCGATCCGGGCTACCGAAAAGTAGATGCATCTTGTTAGTATAGGTAGTACCAATTAATTCTTATAAGCCATTCCCAACTGTACCGTCCCATAGCAGCACAGTCTCTGGAATCCCTCTCTTTCGGGTGTTGATTCGATTCATTCATGTACCCTCGTCCCTAGAAGCCTGCCAGGAGCCGCTCCTTGTCCATGCCCTTTCGCACCGGCGATCACTTCCCGCCCTCGTCAGCGCTCGGGATGTTACAAGCCCACTAGCTTCCGCCTGGTTCGTCCTCGAACCACACCGTACTGGATGAGAGGCCCTGCTCTGATACCACTTGTAACGCTTGGCAACTTGCAAGGATTAATGACTGTCCCCACACACTAACACGAGACTTTTCAGCGTGCTTTGTCCTCACTCGCACACTTCCCGGGAAAACTTCCCAGGAGGTCACCCATCCCAAAATTGCCCCAAGTCAAGCACGCTTAACTATGGAGTTCTTCCTATCCGGGCTACCGAAAAGTAGATGCATCTTGTTAGTATAGGTAGTACCAATTAATTCTTATAAGTCATTCCCAACTGTACCGTCCCATACTAGCACAGTCTCTGGAATCCCTCTCTTTCGGGTGTTGATTCGATTCATTCATGTACCCCCGTCCCTAGAAGCCTGCCAGGAGCCGCTCCTTGTCCATCCCCTTTCGCACCGGCGATCACTCCCCGCCCTCGTCAGCGCCCGGGATGTTACATGCAACATAACCATTAACGTCAATTCATGGCGCAAAACTATTTTGAAAACGGATAAATCAATTTGTTATAATTTTTCTGTTCACAAAATGTCAGAGGTGGAACTGGAATTGAGTACTCTTTGTACCAAACATCTTTTATTATATATTTTTTACTTTTGAGGTTTTACGTTGAACAAAACCAGGATTGAAAATTCCCTTTTGGGTTAAGCAGCCATAAGATCACGTATTTAGATTCTGATTCCCTCATGCCCCCCTAAAAGGTTGTCCTAGAATATCTCTTTCTCTGTTGTGTGTATGAGCAGTTGCTTGCATTCATAGAATAACTTCTTTCTTTCTTGCTTTCTTATCTTTTTTTTTCTTTTTTTTTTTGGTAAAAATGGAGGGCCTAGCCCAGAAAAACTATATAGAAAGCTTAAGCATGTTCACAGAAACATGCTCCAACAAAAATTCTTTACAAAGCTCCTTCCAAAAAGGAAGAATACTAGTGGGAGGAGAGTGAAAAAACACCAACTCTCCTTCCCTACTAATGAAGCCTAATTTAGCTAAACTGTCAGCACATCAATTCAAATGCCTTGGAATGAATTCCAATTTAACTTGGTCGAAACCTTGGATCTCTTTTAACAATCTATGCACCAAGGGGGAGGATGAAATCAGACCAGCCTTAGGGTCACAGCAGAGAAGTGCTTCTTTGCTGTCACTGCCTAGCCACACATTTGAGAGTTGCAAATCAATAGCAAGTTTGAGTCCATGAGAGATTGCCCATAATTCAGCTTCCAAACTGGTGCAGGGACCAATGTTGAATGCGAAACCCCCTAGCCAAACTCCACTAGTTGTGGAGATGACTCCACCACAAGCACCAATTCTGGAAAAATTATTGACAGCACCATCAACATAAACTTTGATTCCTTCCATCTCAGCCAGATGATCTGGACCTCCCAGTGGTGAACTAGGCACAGAGCTATGAACTCTGAATGGATCAACACCAGAAGTCAGGTTCATTTCCTTCAAGTAACACAGAATCCTAGATACAGGATTATTTGGCCAGGAGAAAGAATTGTCATGGACCACAGCATTCCTCCATTGCCAAAGGAACCAAACAGAAACATAAAAAATTTCTTGCCAAGAGTTCCAAGCCTTAGAAGAGAAGGGCTTAATAATGCTAAGCCTAAACCAATCAAGTCCTTCTGCAGAAATAAAAGAGTTAGGAATACTTCCTTCAAACCACACCTCCCACACACTCCTAGCACCTTTGCAGTCTCTAAGCAAATGGATCACTGACTCTGGATGGGATAAACAAATAGGGCATAAAATTTCTCCTCCACTCCAATGACAAGTGATACTTCTAACAGGAACCTTATTCAAGCAAGCTAACCATAGGAACACAGCAATCCTATAGGGGCCTCTCCATTTCCACAGCTTAGACCAAATCTGATCCTTACTAATGTTGAGGTCAAAACTTTGACAGTAGGCATTTCGAACAAGGGATTTACTTGGGCAGCTTCTTCTCCAAACAAGCCAGTCTTCTGCATTAACAGAAGTAGGTGGACAAATATCATGCAATCTATACAGAGTGGCTTCATCTAGGTACTTCTCCATCAGCTCCCAATTCCAGTCCCCTGATGTTTGGTCAACAAGGTCAAAGACTTTCAAATCCAAGTCTGAATCAGGAGGTTTGGTACTAGTAAGCTTAAACAAGCAATCCTGCCACTAACCCCACCTATCCATCCAAAAGCAAATAGATTTCCCATTACCTAGCATCCAGGTTAAATTCATAGATAACTTTTCTCTGGCTATACAAATGTTCTTCCACAGGGGAGAATCACTTGTTTTAGCTAAAAACTTTCTTCTTGGATCCTGACTTCTACCATATTTACCAAAAAGAACTTTGGCCCAAAGGCTTTCTTGATCACTTGTGAGCTGCCAAGCAATTTTCTGCATGAATGCCTCATTTTGGGTCCTGAGGCTGATGATACCAAGTCCTCCACACTCCCTTGGCAGGCACATCTGGTCCCAAGCCACATAATGAGCTCTCCTTTTATCCTCAGAATCACCCCAAATGAAGCAACGCTGGATTTTCTCATTCTCCTTACACACATGAACAGGGAGCATACTATTTTGCATATGGTATACAGGAATAGCAGAAATGACACTCTTGGCTAGAGTAATTCTGCCAGCCAAGGACAAGCATTTGGACTTCCAGCCTTGGAGCCTATTTTGAACTCTAGCAATAACATCTGCATAGTGATCTCTCTTGGCTCTCCTATGCCTTATAATGACCCTAACTGGTAAATCTTAGTTAGAGATTTAATTTAAGGATTTAAATGCCATAATTAGATTCAGTGAGCGATTTCGAGTATTTTGACTGTAATCATGACTATGTTATGAACAGTGCGTTCTGCTGGAGAATTTACAGTTTTGTGAATTAACCGGTAGAGCTTAAAATGAGCAAAATAATTTTAGGAACATAATTTGAAAATTCTGATGACAAATATGAGTTCAGAACGAAAAATTGTATAGTCTGGCACTTTCCGTGAAAATCTCGTGAATAGTGTTTCTACCGGGTATTTTGTTCTGCTGTTTAAGCAACCGGTAGAGTCCAGAAATAAATAATTGATGAAATAAGAATAAGAAAGTCCAATATATGCCAAGCAAGTCAATATAGGCCCAAGAAAATGATAAGTTTATAAGTTTTAATTTTCGTAAGTAAAGGAAGTACAATTAGTGATGCACAGTGCATTTCGTCAAAAACGGTGCAAAAACCATACTGTGAATTATGAATATTGTTCCTTAGGAAATAAAAAATTAATGTAAATGATTTTAGGAAATAAAAAATATGTTTGTAGCTTTGAGTTAGTTCCGGGTCAATTTAAGTTAAAATACGCGATAAAAAAACATCCGATGAAAATGGCCACATGTGCCTATATAGCCTTGTCACTTAAATGAAACACTATTCATTTCAGATTTTCTTCTTCTCTCTCGCATGGCCGAGCTGCACATGGAGGGGAAGGGGCTAGGGTTTCAAATTTTCCTTCTTTGATTTCTTCATCATCCATCCACCAAATCCAATGACCCACCACATGAAATTGATTGGAAACCACTCAATGAATCCATTCCACCTATCCATTTGAGCTATAGTTGAGTGTGTGAAGAGTTATTCCTCCTCTCATTTTCGAGTTACTATTCATTGGAGGAGAAAAAGTGAGTTTTTGGATGGAGCTTGGCTTGGAGATTGCTCTCTAGGCTTTGTACAAGTGTTTAGAGGTAAGAAACCTCTATTTCCATGATATTATTTTGATGATTTAAGTTATGAAATTGATGAGCATATTTTGTTGGGAAATAATTGATGTTAGAATGTGAAATTTATGATGGATTATTGTTGTTTAGGAAGTTATAGTGTTGAGTAAGCATCCACATGTGATATAAAAATTTAAAAGTCCTATTGCATCTTCCTCCTAGGTTTCGGCCATCATGGAGTGAGTAGGAGTTATTGTGGAAAAAATTATATTATGTATTGTGAAGGTATAGTGTGTTGGAAATGAGTGAAAATGGATGAGTTAGTAAGAATGCCTAAGTAAAAAAAGGACTTGGTGTCTAAACTCAAAATAGGAATTTAGTGGAAGCATTCCTAGGTGTTTTCAAGTTGTAATGAAGTAACGAAAATGCATTGTAAAAGAGAAGGATCTTTGGAAATTCCCCTTGTAGGATTCAACCTATAGGGTATTTAGGGATATATTTTGTACATTTTATTTTAAATAAAATGTGTTGTAATAAATTGTATAAAGGTGATGAGTTTTGAAGAAAAATAGCATGATTTATGTTGAAAATTCCTAAGGGAATGGTTGATTAAATTAAAGAACACCAACGGTTATAAAGAGGTCTAGACTTGTGTATTGGCATAGGATTGGCAAAAATGCAAAGAAAGGAAAATAAGCGATAAAATGTATGCTTATGAAATAATTATGGTATTGCATCATTTTATTGATGCATTGTAAATTATTCTCTAGGTGTGCCTAGGGATTGAGAAGGATCGGAAATCTCTTGAAGCGATAAAAGTAACTTGTTCCACAAGTAAGCGTATTGGTAAAGCTTCAAGAGGTAAGCTCTATGTTTAAGGAGTCTTTTCTTGCTTGAGTGCTCCACCATGGTTAGTGAACTATGGTTGGACTGTATGACTGTGATTTAGATGCCTTGTATAGATGCATTCATATAGAGTTATTTGATAACATGATATGTTTTGCTCTGATATGACTTCTGTAATTTGATTTCTGTAACAATCTCTGGCCATTGATTGTATAGTACCCGGACGTCCGCTTTGGGGTCCTCCCTCGGGACTGATGGTGTACTCCTCTGATATGTCTGGTTCCGCTTTGGGGTCCTCCCTCGGGAACACGTGCGTTGATTTCCGCTTGGGGTCCTCCCTTGGGAATGACGGCGCACATCTCTGATATGATATGGATATATGCTCTGTTCTGTTATGATATCTGTTATATGTTGTATTTGTATACTCTGTATCTGACTTTCATGCAGGAGTGAGCCAGGGGTATGGAGAATTCTCTATAAACCTGGAGCTTATTGGGATTTGTAATCTCACCCCTCCTTGGGGACACATTTTCAGGTGCCCAGATTTCCGGTGAGTCCTCACTAGGCAGGGACACGACACGTGGCTGAGGCAGTTGACAGACCGGATTTTGAGTGGCTGTAGGCTGCTACCTTTTTGGAGTGTTTGATGTATTTTAGTATTTTCGCATTTGATGGATCATGATATTGATCCTTTATTTTGTATATGGCCTGTATATGTTTTGTACATGTCTGTCAGTTTGATGCATGTACATTTGAGTATTCAGGAACGTTATATGATGATGTAGTATTCAGATAGGTTTATGTTTTGATGGCATGCTGTTAGATTTAGTGGCACGGAGCCATGTTATGCATGCGCCCATGTATGGGTATTCGATTATATTTGGATATCTGGTATTTCTGAATTGATATGTTGTATAAACTGTTTATCAGGAAATGCTTCTGAGTGGGATTGGAAAATCCCCAGTTGTCCGATTTATAGAGGAAACTCTGCCCGATTTTCGTTTACGCCGAGTAAGAATTAAGTTAGAAAAAGAAAAAGTTAGCTCATATTTTCGTAAGTTAAGTCTTCCGCTGTTTCTGTTTATATCATGTGTATGTTAATTGAACCGGCTCGAGACGGGGATGTAACATTTATGGTATCAGAGCAGTTTCTCTAGGAGAGCCTGTGAAATATTGCATGAACTGTTCGAGTTGTTATGTTCTTGAGTTTTTCTTGGAATACTATGATATGCATGTCTGATCACCGAGTGTGAGCGTAGCTAACTCATTCCTTTGTGTGAAATATGCAGAATTATGGTTCGCCCAAGAAGGACTTCTGATCCTCCTATTGACCCGACCGATCCAATATTAGCAGATTTGGCAAGACCCCGACTTAACCCGCGGGGAAATACTTCACAGCCAGATCCAATGATAATGGCCTTAACTGAGATGCAACAAAATATGGCTGCAGCTAGGCAGCGAGAGCTAGAAGTGATGATGAAAGCAAATCAAGATCTGTTAGAGGCTAATAGGTTGGCCAATCAAGAAATGATGGCAGCAAGCAGAATGGCGAATATTGAAATGATGAGATTACTCTTGGTTGAGGTGAGGGCGGGTGGGCAAGGTCCACAGCCACAGCCTTTGCAACAGCCACAGCCTGAGCCACAACCACAACAGCCTGTTCCTCCTCCTCATAATCCCATTGTTGTGGAGGGTGAAGGAAATAATGATGTGAATGAAGAATCTAGTCACAGGGGTGGTGTGGCACAGCCAGCCACTAATAGAGAGCAAAGAGAAAGAATGCTAAATGCCTTCCGAAAACATGCACCACCAAATTATAAAGGAGGCATTGATCCTATTGCTGCAATTCAGTGGTTAGAAGAATTGGATCGCATTTTTACTGTCATGGAGTGTGATGATCAGCAGAAATTGTTGTATGCTTCTTATATGTTGCAGAATGATGCAGCTGATTGGTGGAGAAATACCCGTCTGCCCTTGGAATGTCAGGGTTATGCTATTACCTGGCCTTTATTTGAAAGACAATTCTTGCTGAAATACTTTCCGGCTGAAGCCCGGATAAGGAAGAAGGGTGAATTTGAAGAACTAAAGCAGGGTCAGATGTCTATTGATGAATACTTGAATAAGTTCAATAAGCTGGCCAAATACTCTCATTTCCAGAGAGCTCCACCTACAGAGGATGACTTGATTTTTAAATTTCATAGAGGATTACATGATAACATCTCTGAAAAACTTGCAAGTGACTCATTTGATACTTTTGCTGCACTTGTTAAAAAGTGTAAAAATATTCAAGAATATTACAGAAGGAAGCATAAGGACCAATCTGCTCCTAATTCTGGTCCTAAAAACACTTCTGGGAATTCTAAAGGAAAAGGGTTGCAGGTTAGACAGTCTGATGGTAAGTTCAAAAAGGCGGGAAATTCTAAGCCTGGAAATATTAAGCCTGCTTCTCTATGTGCTACATGTGGTAAAGTTCATGCTGGGGTTTGCAGAAAAGAGCAAAGATTGTGTTACAAATGTGGCCAACCTGGGCATTTTATTAGGGACTGCCCCTTTAATGGGGGACAGGTTTCTACTATTCAGGCCACTCCGGCTCCTATTGTGGTTGAGGAACCATCTCTACCTCTCCCACCTCCAGTTGCCCGAGTATATGCAGTGACTCAGCAAGAGGCTGAGAGGTCAGCTAGTTTGGTGCGAGGTATGATTTCTATTCATGATGAAATGCTTAGTGTTTTGTTTGATTCTGGTGCCACGCATTCTTTTATTGCTGATTATGTAGCTGAAGCATTTGGTCTGCATGTGATAAAAATGAAAACTCCTATGCGTATTGTTACGGCTGTGGGAAGAGTTTTTAATGAAGACTATGTTTGTGAAAATGTGAAATTCAAGTATGAAGGCAGGGAATATTCTGCCGACTTTATTGTCTTGCACCTTGCTTCTGTGAATTTAATTCTGGGGATGGATTGGTTGTCCAAGTACTGTGTGAAGATTGACTGCTGCAGTAAAACCATTTCTGTCTCATCTCATGATGAAGAAAGGGAGTCTCCTTATTTGTCTGTACTTCAGGTGGTAAAGGCCTTGAAGGAAGGAGATTTCGGGTATGTTTTATTGGGAGGTTTGGTTGGCGTCAAGAGAGGGAAATTGAATTTGCAATTGACTTATTGCCTGGTGTGGGACCTATCTCTCTTGCCCCATACCGGATGTCACCTCTGGAATTATCCGAATTGAAGAAGCAGATTGAAGACTTATCCAGAAAAAATTTTATTAGGCCGAGTGTGTCTCCTTGGGGAGCCCCGGTGATCTTTGTTGAGAAGAAGAAGGATTGTCATCTCATCT